AGAACACTCTCCAAAAGTTCTGATTTAAAAACACTCTTCTTCCTTTTACTCAACTTTTATTAATTTTATATTTAAACACACCCACTATCTGCTCTCTTTACTCAAACAAAAACACTCTCTTTCTTCTTTTTACTTAAATTTTAATAATTTTATATTTTAAGAACATACTTAAGAAACACCATTGCACATGCCCTTAGATGATTCTAACAACCTCTTGATTGTTTCAAATATAATTTATGCATTTGCGTTTATATGACATTTTCAATGTTTCGCCAATAATTTTTGTTGAAAATGTTTTAAGGTTTTAGGTTCATTTCAAATTAAATGTAAACGTGTAAATATAAAACTTGAGGCATAAGTTTGAAGTGCAATAACCTTTCTATATATATGTGTAATTTACTTATAGTGGCAAAAGGAGAAGGATTCATGGCACATTCCATGGGGTTCAGGAACACGGCTGGGCCAGAGGGACACCAAGCGGTCGCGATACGCGTCCAATCTGACCGTTCGGTTTTCCTAAACTGTCGATTTGAAGGCTACCAAGACACATTATACGCGTACACGCACCGCCAATACTACAGAAGTTGTGTCATTATCGGTACAATCGACTTCATATTCGGTGATGCGGCCGCAATTTTTCAGAACTGTGACATCTTTATCAGAAAAGGTTTACCAAGTCAGAAGAACACGGTGACGGCTCAAGGACGAGTGGACAAGTTTCAGACGACAGGCTTTGTCATTCACAATTGTACAATTGCTCCAAATGAAGATCTTAAACCCGCGAAGGCCGAGTTTAAGAGCTACCTTGGACGGCCGTGGAAGAGCCATTCCCGAACCGTTGTGATGGAAACAACGATCGAGGATGTGATTGATCCTGTTGGTTGGTTGAGATGGCAAGAGACGGATTTCGCCATTAAGACATTGTCTTACGCGGAATACAAGAACGACGGTCCAAGGGGAGCAACCGGTTCTAGGGTTAAATGGCCTGGATATAGGTTAATAAACAAGGAAGAGGCGATGAAGTATACGGTTGGACCATTCTTACAAGGGGAATGGATCCATGAGTTAGGGTCTCCGGTTAAGTTTGGCCTTTATGAGGCTTGATGCTTGCTAAACACGTAATGTGTGGTGCTTTGTTTTGTGAAATTGCATCTTGGTGAACAAGATAATAGAACATAACATAGAAGAGGCAAAAATTAAATGTTTTGTTCCATAAAGATCGATTTCTACTCAAATATTTTGACAGGAAAGAAATTTTAAGGCGTTTCGTAATGATTAATTCTCCTAATAGTAATACTAAGGGAATAACAATGGATGCAAATTTAACATAAATTGTATTAGCGTGATGAGAAACAAATAGTCAAACCATTGATAGGAAAAGTTTGAATCATAGCAACAAATTAAAGTTTTTTGTTTGTGAGTTTAGATTTGTTTTGTGAATATATGCTCCTTTTTGTGTTACGGAATATATATACACATGATGGTCTTATGTGATTTCAAAAGATGATTGAAGAAACGGTTTAGAAGAGAGTGTTTCATTTCCATGTTTGTTAAGAGTTGTTACAATTTAAGCTCCAAGCAAAGATAAACGTTAAACGTTTGTTGTCACTTACTCTCTTCTAGTATCTTGAAATGGATAGAGCTAGAACTTATTCTTTACTAATGACACCTCGAAACATTTACCCCTTAGCGTACTCGGTACCAACGAGCTCATGGATCGCCATG